TTCTAAATTAGTTTCTAAGGCAAACTTGCGAATTTAATATAAAATTTTGTAGGAATCCAAAAATTGTGAATCCAATTTTGTTAGGTTTCTAAAATCATGATCTATCTGCTAATATATTTTGTTTACTTAGTTTCATAGAATTTTTAATAGTAGACTAATTAATTTGAAGTACTTAAAATGGGTAAAACATGAACTTGTAGGAATTATTGTGTTGAATTGGTAGTAGTAGTGGCCCTAAAATTTTTACAGTAGATTTCTAACATTATTAGGTGCTCACTGTAATTTTTGTAGCTTCATAGAAATTAGTTTGTTAAGGTAACTAAATGAGCCCTAGTACGCAAATATATATTTAATCAATCAAATGTCAAAAAATAGTTGGGGTTTGTAGAACGAAAACATTTTTCCAAAAACGAACCTCACTTGACCACGTGGATACATGGCTTAGTATGTTAGTCATTAGAGCTAGCTCGTTAGCTTGCAAGACGTAATCGTATTTTAGAGTTACAGATGCCATTGATTATTTACGTCCTGCGTTGCATCCACGTATTTCATGATAGGAGCGATGTTGGATCACGAAGTCGTCAGGAGTAGCGGAAGCAGATGGTGACTTGATGATCATGCCACCAGGATGAAAGCTAACTTGGTTATATCTTACCCAGGCAAGCCCCGGTGCATAACCCCTATTATTCTGCACTTTATTTTATGCTTGTGCATTAAGTTTAAGGAGTTGAATAAAACTCACTTGCATGTATATACCCTTATCCTATGAGTTTTACTAGTATGACAGGATCATGTAGATTGCTATGCTATAGGACTCCGGTAGAAGTCGAGTGATTGCCTGTCACTCGCGAGAGATAGGAAATATATTATTGTTGTTATTATATTACTATCACCTGGAATATATATATATATATATATGAATGATGATTGGAGACCAAGTGGAATGGCACTTTAGATCTGGACTTGGTTTGGCAATCGAGCGAGGCTCGGATTGCACTTGTTCCGCCTATGTCGATTGAGGACCATCCATTGCATTGGATTCTAGTCAGGTCACAGACTTACTATCCTGAGCACATACTTGCTTATGGGAGCGGAAAAGGCTCGTTGCTCTCTTGTCATGGATTCCAGCTCTTTCCAGACCAACTGATTGGTGGCAAGGATGGTGGAGGTCTAAGCACCACACTGAGTTCGGTACTCAGGTGTGGGGGTTTGGAGTCCAAGTTTAGACGGGACCTGGACCCCTTGATAGGAGAGTGGTGGGTTGGTCCTGCTTGTGCCTAGGATACAAGCGGGACGTGTGTTTCGGGATACCCAGTTGGGATACATTGGTTCGTGAAACGCCATGTGATACGGTATGACTTGGCTACGATCTAGCATCGTATTAAGAACTAGAATATGAAAGATGGTAAATTGGTTCTGATTGCTTACCACATGCTTGAAAGTAGCACATGTGCTTACATAGAATGGTTAGTTAATAAACTAATGATGACTGCTAATGAAATTGAATATAAGGATGCACACTTAGTAATGCTTCTTGCAGATGCAATAACCCACAAGCCAGATAGCCTTGCATATCCTTGGAGTCTTTTCTTTCCTCCTGACGGGTAAGCCTTGCGGAGTATAATTGAGTACTCAGGGTTTGTTCTACCTTGTTGCAGGTGACAGGTGGATGCTAGAGCTGACAATTGTGTGCGGGAACCTCCTAGTGGGCTCAACGATGATTTCCTTAACGTTGCAAACATAAAGTTTATTTAAAACTTCCACCCAAAATATTTTACAATGGAAAAACTTATAAATTGTTATGATGTAAATAATGGATCATCATGTTAATGTTTAACTTGTCATTTAATGATTTTATTTCCGCTAAAACTCTGATAACATGGTTATATTCCGCTGTTATAAACAATAAATATTATACTCTGATGTTGCATGGAAAGTGATGTAAGAAATGGCTAAAATGTTGTAAGCTTTATTCTCCCATTAATGATCCTGTTGAAAAATATGGATTTTTGGGTTCTCCCATGGGTGTGCTCGATAGAACTGCCTGATGTAGCTCACCTTCGTGGTGCTTAGTGTCTAGTGGAAGACAAGCGCTTCCGTAAGTGTGTTATTTCGAGCGGTTCTGCCACAGACACCTCAAGGAAGCTCATGCGAATGAGATCCAACCCAAGTCTAGACACGACGGGATAGACTGACTAGATCCACCTCCTCAATGGACTTGGACGGCGGTAGTATCGGCGATAGTTCATCTAGGTTGAGAATGAAAGACGCCCTACAATGTCTTGCCCCCTACCCCCATGACTGCTTAGGTTTTCTCACCTCGTCGCACACCGCTACTAGATTTTTTATGCCTGGACCAGTAGCACATCACCTTGCACTCCCCTCTAAATCCACCACCGCTTCATAGGCTCATCCCCATCCACTATTGCACATCATATCCCCTTCGTCATCACATCACCTCACCTCCTCTCCATCCACAACTGACGCACCTCGCCTCACCATGTCCGCCTCTCTATCTGACTCACCAAGTGGCCAGGCAAAGCACCTAGTCGACAAGTCACCAATAACATGATGGGGAAACAACACGGGCAAAGGAAGCGTGTTCCTATTGCAAGACACAAAGGGAATCGGAAGAGATGGGCTCCTCCTTGACGGCGTTGGCCATGTCGCTAGTGGACGGTGTCTGCTTCAGCTGTAACGACCGCTTCTGGACCCAATGCTAGACGAACTATTGCTATTAGTTCTATGGCAAGTCCCTTCTCCTACTCTTCCGCTCCTTGTTGCCCCATGTCATCCCTCTTCCTTAATCTTGCCTAATAGAAGATTTCTCTATTTTTTCACTCTTAAAAAGTCCAATTAGGAATCACCAACACCGACTCTTTAGCATGTCTCCACCGCCTCCTCGTGCTTGCGATCTTTATGTGCCAATAGGTGGGCCCTATCTGGTTCACTCACTGCTCGCACATCGGCAAACGGGCTCGCTCATGACTCCCTCTGCCCCCAGCTCCTGCTGCTCCACAACTGCATTGCAACTCACTGCCCCCACCACCTCTTTGTGGGACCTCCTCTATAGGCTCCACCACTTGGGGCTTCCCGTATCGATCCAAATTGAACACACCTTAGGGAAGCTCATGTAAGCGAGATCCAACCCAAGTCGATCTGGATGTCAGGGGAGGGACTGACTAGATCCACCTCCTTAGCCGACTCGAATGGCAGTGACATAAACAACATTTCATCTGTGGTGAGAATGAAACTCGCCCTGCAATGTCTTCCCCCTCCCCCAACAATCGCTCTGTTTTCTCTCTTTCCCATCGCACACCCCCACTGGATTTTCTGCACCTAGACTAGACGCACACTACCTTCCGCCCCCTTCGAATCCACCGTCGCCTCATAGTCACCTCCCCATCCACCACACACATCGCCTCCCATACATGTCGTCGCACATCACCTCACCTCCTCTCCATCCGCAGTCGATGCACCTCACTTCTCCATGCTCGCCTCTCTATCCTGACTCACCGAGTGGCTAGGCATCAGCAAGTTGATGATGATTGCTACGTGACAAAGAGGGGAATAGGAAGAGATGGGCTTCTGGGCTCCTCCTCAATGTCGTTGGCTGTGCCGCTAGTGGACGACATCTGCTCTGGCTGCCACGACTGCTTGTGGATCCCATGCTAAGTGAACTACTCTCATTGGTTTTGTGGTTCCCTTATCCTACTCTTCCTCTCCTTTTGCGTTGTGTTGTGTTAGTCCTGTGTGTTCAAATAATATGGAACCTGAACACAACGCAACACAAAAGTTACACAAACTTTCAAATCAAGAAAGGTAACCCCCTCTTTGTATTGGCTTGTTTTTTTTATGGAATAGTTATGGCTGGTACTCATTCATAAGGGGCAATGGTTCTTCTTAATGCCATCTTGTTTTCGCCCTAAAAACAATTTACCCTGTTCCGCTTGACAGAAGTTACAACCAAGTTGTTTGGCTCGTCTAGTAGAAATATTGAGCTCATCAGTTTCGGTTCCATTCTATGACACCACCTTTCCAAGATCCAGTCTCTCTTAGCATCAATCCGTACGTGTTGTTGACGCTATCTACCAACTATTACCATTAACCTGTCTACTCACCTACAGACTATATGGCTCTATAACCTCCATTGTTTCAGTACCTCAAGCATAATACAAATCTACAGCCTATTCGTTTCGGCTGAAACGATCGTGAATTATTACTGCTGACTGGTTTGGTGTGAGAGAAAAATACTGTTCTGGCTTATAATCCACGATCGTTTACGACCAAGCAAATATGCTGCTAATTTAAAAGTTACATTTAGAGCAACACGTTCAATCAGATCCCAGTACTCTGCAAAAGGAAGCACAAGCAAAGTTAAATTTGGCATGCCGTGCCTTGGAAGACAATTCAGCGTGTTTGGCTGCTCAGGTTCCAGCTTGTTTCAGCTTATTCTCCCTCACAGAACACTATTGAATCATCCGAAATAATCTAAAATCCACTGTTCAACGGATCACCCGCGCTGAATGATTATGGACACAGGAATATTTCGGAAAACATGGGTGGGTATTTAGTAGAGTTAGGAAACTGAGCTAGTTCACTTGGTTGAGAGTGTGGATGTATACTCAGATCATCCAAGTGCAAGTCCTCGTCGAAACGAATTTGGGTGTCTATTTTCTTCTAAATAAAATGCTAGCATTATAAATGATTGCCATCTCTAGGCTGTGTTCGGCTGGCTGGCTGGTTGGTTGCCGGCTGACCAGCCACCTCACAGAATCACTGTTCACGTCCTGCCAGAACAGTATTTTTCTCTCACAACAATAAATCGGAACAGTATTTTTTAGTCCCGCCGAAGAGACCTTTAGGCATCTTGCTATTTGTTATTAGCTTTCCGATAGACTGGCAGAGACTACAAATACAATAGATCGTTGGGTACTTGAATGTATGCCTTGTGCTGTTGTGCTGTCGAGTACTACACATTGTTGAGCCACAGCGGAACCTCAAGCGGGCAAGACCGCGTCGCTTCGCGCGCGTGTGGCGCAGACGTGGCACTCGGCGTTCCCGGCCCGCCGGCCGTCGATGTAGTGCTGGTGCATGTAGGAGAGGAACCCCCATACCGCCATGAGCATGGCCACGACCTTTATACCCGTCATCCTGTCCCTGAACAGCACCACCGCGAACACCGGCACCAGCGGCAGCGCCAGCGTGCACGTCACGTTCGCGAACAGCGACGACACCCTCATGATCAGCCGCACCACGCCCACGGCCGCTGCCTGCCACGACACCGCCGTGCCCACCAGCGTCAGCACGTACCTCGCCCTCCCGTCCTTAAAAGACGCCATCTCCCCCGGGATTGTCCGCCAGTCCCCCGACGCGAGCAGCCCCACCACGGAGACCGCCGACGCCACCAGGTTCGTGTACATCTGCATCCGCAGCACCCACCGCGCCGTTCGCACCCGGATCACCTTCTCGAAGGTGAGCTCGAAGAGGGACAGGATGAGCGCGAAGACCGCCGAGGCGGCCAGCACGAGGACGAACCCCACTGGGTACTTGCCGCGCGGCACGTCGCTGGAGGTCTCATCGGAGGAGGAGCCCACGCCGAGCAGCGCGGCGGAGAAGGTGAGCACGACCACGGAGTTGGCGATCAACGCTGTGAACCGCTGGGCGTTGATGAGGCGCGAGGTGATTGCGTTGAAGCCCAGCTGCGTCGCGGCCACGAGCGAGAAGGTGGACACCGGCAGGTACTGCAGCGCGTACGAGTACATGAGGTTGTCGAAGCCGATCATGACCCCGACGCCCGTGTAGACGGCCAACATCTTGGACACCGCCGGCCGGCGCTCCTCCGCCGAGGGCGCCGGCGTCATGAGGAGCGGGACGACCAGAAGTGGCGAACCACCAGACTGCGTGAGCGTGGCCATCCACTTGCTGTTGCCGCCGGAGTTATAGTACAGGCGGCCGAGGAGGGTGGCTACAGTCGTCCCACAGAGAACCATGAGCATGTCCACCACCACCGTCATCCACCATCGGAAGCTGACTCTAGTGGACCGGCGCATGGCGGCCTTGGGTTCATCGCGGGCATCTTCATGGACGGATTCCTCGTCCGGAATGCCTTGCGCAATTACAACAAAAACAAATTAAAGTTGCCGTCGTAGTTTAGTAGTACTATACGGATTATACGGACTACTACAATAATGGAAACAAAAAAGAAGCAGATTTGGTACAAACATAAAAAGTAAAATGAGCACTGGATCTGCTTTTGCAATTTTGCTAGAGATCATTTTTCGTTTCAGTCAATCTGACAACCAGTAGTAATCGTTTTTTTAGAAAAATATTTTTTTCAATCTCTACGGTCGCACACAAAAGTTTTTAGTTAATCAGCTGAACAAATAAAAGAGAGAAATTAGAACACAAACTAAAGAGAAAAATCAATCAAAATTTATTATTATTTCTCAATTTATTCTTGGTGAAGTAGAGGTCTATGGTAACGATCTCCAAATGAACAATCCCTCTCACGACCTCGTGCAGTATATTAATACGCGTAGCATGAGCTCTTGGACCTTTGGGGCATGGCTAGGGTAATAATACTTCCCGTTTCAGTTTGCTTTCACCAATCAACTACCAAATTCAATGGTGATAAGGTGGACCATGCAGGAACTGCTGTACTGTAGCTTATATATTTATATTTTTTCAGTGACAGGCGGAAAGCTACTCTGTTTTTTTTTTTTACATATATAAAGAAACACGTTTAAATGGCCAACTTATGAAAAGAAAAAGATTGAGATCTTGAGGGGAGATGATCTCAATGCGAGAACGTTGTTTCCTACAATATTGCTAGCTCAGGACGGCAAAGCAGCCTGCACAAGAACAGTCTAAGCTGGACCTTCCAGACGCATCAATCATTCAAGGATAAGCAGTTTCCAACCATGCATGAACATAGAAGTAGAACTCTCCAAAAGCTTGCTGACTTTTCAAGATCAGGGGGCAAAACAGGCAAATGAAAGAACCACTTTGGAAATTCAATTCAAATCTACACACGATAAGGCACAAGCACAACAAAAGCAACCAGGGAGAAGAGAAGGCAAATGATTTGAGTACCTCTGATCTGGAGCTGAATTTCTTGAGCATGCGCCATGCTGCCTACTGAAACTCAAACACCCTGCTTCTGCCTCAACTGTGTCGCCGGCTGTTTTCTGACACTTCTTGCTAATGAACAATGGACTCTAGGCAGTAGGCACCTTGGTCCTTGGGCATCATATATATCGATACCAACATTAAATAGTAAGATAGAGACATATATTAGTCACCTCTTTTTTTTATCAAAAAGTATTTACAGATGTTCTTCCATTTTATATAGTAGGAATTAGACAGGGTATTTTGTGGGCCAAGCTGGGTAGACAAAAAAACCTGGTTTACTTCGGGTCAAAATTATGTGTCTAGATCTATGTATTTTTTAGCCGGGCCTGGTAGGTCCGCCCGCTATGTTTTAGTACCAAAATAAATGGTATAATAGTTTCGAGATGGGTCTTTTGGGATTGGTTACCTCTGCCCAAGCCATGTGCTATTGAAGCCACGTACCAAGCCAAATTTGCCCAGGTCTAGTAGGAACCATCACAAACCTTCTCTATGGTTATGCCACTCTATTTACCACCACCATCAATACTATTTCTTTGTTATATTATTCAAGGGTTGCAAGGTTGTTTCCTTTCGATCCTGATCGAGACGACCTTTCCAATAGTGATTAACATGCCATTTAGGTTAATGGTTAACTCAGAGTAGGGGGCGGTGAGTGGTGACCTACTTGTACAAGTTAGCAAACATCGATGGCTAGTTCTTCGTCCCTCCCTATTTCTTAAGGGTTAAGTAAGACTCTAGAGCCCATGGCTCAATGTCTTGACATAGGTTTGCTTTCAGAGACCTGATAAGGTGTCACACATTCAGATCCATGTGCTACTTAGGGCTCCCCTCGGTAGTCAGAGCATTAAGAGATCCTCTAGAGGTCCAACTCAGGCAAACCTTGGACTTTGGAGTTATGGTGCCCCCCTATCGGGGTTCCCCTAGCATATATGACTGCCTTATCCATTAGCCATAGCGTTTTTTTTCTCGACATAGAACTAGACGATGACATGTTTTTCGACTGCTATGATCCTATACAGTGTATGCATACTCTTGGTGAGCTCAAAGTGTACAATTTTGAAGAATTTAGTGTAAATATTTGTTTCACATCTCATATGCTACATGCGCCTAAAAAACAATCTTGATTTCAGCAGATGCTCTCTCCACGTTGTGGGCAAGCTTGCCCACAACTCCATCACCGGGCTTTTTGCCTAGCGTAGTCCGCCAAATGCTCAAGTCTGATGGTGATGGAGTTGTAGTGATGTCATGAATGGGAATGGGTGAGGATGGATGGCCGTGATGTTAGCAGATGGTGGACATAGTGGTGGCAAACCAGGCGCCAAGGACAATCATAGCTAAACCAATTCGATAAGACGAAGGTTTAAGCAAAGAAATGCTTCAATCAGTCGATGCATATGCACACGACACATGGGCGCACACAGGTGGTTGGAACGTTTTTATCCATGGCAAAGGAATACATTTCTGAAGAAAATAAAACGCTAATTCACGGACTCAATTAACTGGATAATAACAGAGCGCGTGATTCTTTCTTCAGTTATATATATGGAGATAGATATGCAGCTCAATCATTTAGTAGAGTCCCACTGAAATCGACATGTTCCACTTATTGCATCATGTCGATGATTAGGGCAAAGACTAGTTTCGCAAGCCGATTCATCGAGTCAACCAGGTGTGTGAAAGGAGGTCTGACAAGCTACCGTTTTCTATTGGAGCTAGCTCAAACCCCTGCATTTCGTCAAGTGGTTCTGCACTACGGATATATTCATCGGATGTACTCCTCGGTTTCAAATTATAAGTCGCTTTGATTTTTTTTTTCATTTTGCTATGTATTTAGATATATTATTATCTAAATGCATAGCAAAATGGATGTACAAAAAAGTTCAAAGCGACTTATAATTTGGAACGGATTGAGTATACGAAAGGAGGAAGCTCGACATGTTTTGTTGTTGACCTAAACTTGCCACGCCTGACCTTCAGTAAACTGTGGTTGCTAGAGAAAGTTTGGCGAATAAAATTGAAGCCACACTTATAGCAAAGTTTGGTAAGAAAATACGTTTATGACGTGTAAGACAGGATGCTAAGAAAGTATGTCACGTCGTAGTTGTGTCAGCAAACCAAACATCTGTCAGAAAAACTATGGCATAACTAACTTGTAGCATGGTACCTTTTGATCGTGAACCAAACATACCCTTAAATCTCCTTAAGTTTGGCAGCCGCTGAGAGACGTGTGACGTGTCACCTCCTGTAGATCCAAGAGCAAGCTGCCGTTCTTGCATGTCCATGTCTTCCCATGAGGAGCGGTGATTACTGACACTGTCCCTACGACACTGTGCAACGGCGGTGGCAGAGCGTTATCGTATCAGGCCTTGTCTGATATACTAGTTGGTTGATTAGACATTTTTTATACAAATATCTCTTAACTCTTTAAGCAGAGGGCGATCTTTTTCTTCTCTTCCCATGATTGCTTTGAAAAGTATCAAGGATGCGTCCCACGATTGGAGGATCCAAATTACTACTTGATCCAGCTTTGAACTAGAGCTGTGTTTGGTTCACTTGAACTGATAAGTACTAGTTAAAAATTGTCTTAGTCCATCTAAACACGCAGACTAATAACTTAGTCCAAGATAATCAAGTGAACCGTACTTCCGTCAACAAATAACCGAACTTTCAGCAGTTTTCAGCGGCGCAGTCAGACAGGAACTTCCATACAGCAATTAAGTCGTGATGTGATGACTTATCAACGACAACAACATAGTCTTTCAGTCTCAAGTAAATTGGGGTAGGTTAGAGTTGAAACCCACCGAGAGTCTCAGGTTACGGTCCAGACACTTCAACAACTGTTTTCTAAGTACTCCTATTCAAACAGATGTGATGACTTATCAAAAATGAAAAAAAATTGTGCTGTGATGTGATCGCAGTAGAAAAAAAAACAATGATTATTCCGCAGAGATTTTTGCTGCTTGGTTTTGTTCGTCATATTTCTCAGCTACTGTTCGTAGCCCTGGGCACCTTCGCCACATCTAACCACTTCCAAAGACAAAAACAAGATATGCGATCCGGTGAGAGCGCTCACTATTATATTGTATAAATACATTTTTGAACTGTTTGTTTTTATTTATTGAATCATGAATATTGTTCCTTTTTATAATTTACCAGCAAATATACACGTGCGTTGCAACATGATATACTTCATGTTACACGATCACTTAGAAGAGACTGGTGTCTCAGAGATTTATTCAGTGATCATGTCATATGTTCTAATACATCTTAGAATCCAACTTTGTACAATCGATGGACGTGTCTTGAAATCGGATTTTGCACCGTCAATAGAGGTATATTGTTCTAACTCATATAAAGACGAATTGTGAGTTTGGATTACACACAAGATATGAGAGGCATGATGGCATTATGGAAGTAGAAAAAACTTTATTGAAAGAATACTCTTTTGACTTTAAATAATAAGAGCTCTGCTCGGAATCAGGAAAAAGTCTTCTGAGTTATATATTTCTTCTTTTGTAAGACTTTCCTTATTTTGGAGTATATAATTCTACTTTACTCAAGTACTCTACTACAGAATGATTATTGTGTTAGAAGATTTGGTCCAAATAATAATTCCAAATAAATCATAAAGGCTCACTCACATATGCATAGTATGGTGGGGGACTTAGTCCCATATTGCTGCTCTTGAAGGAGTGAGACCAATTTAAATAGCTGAGTTATCTCTATCTAATTGAAGCTATTGGGGAGAGGAAAAGAAAGAAACACATGCGCGCGCTCGCTCGCCTCGCCGAGCGAGGCGCGGGCGTGTGGCATACGCGTGAATGGTCCGGCGATTTCTCGCTTTGATCTTGCGCACAACTTTCTTTTGCTACTCTATATTTGTGCGTGCATGGAGAAAATTATGCTGGCCTGTTTTAGCAAGCAATTATTTTCGCATTAATGGTGATTGCTCAAATTGCTCTAGTCGACTAACGGCAGGTCAATCACGTTAGTGCTTTTATTGCACGACTGATTACTTTCTTTAGCTGCTGCGCGTGTATATATTGGGACGAGACGTTGCCTTAAGAACATAGAATTCATCTCCTCCTTTTGCCACTATGCTGCGCCGCCGCCGTATTCCCCATCCCGTCACTGACGTGTCATCGGCGCCAGGAGAGTAGGTCTCCAAAGCCTACATCCCCTCGTGTCCCTGTACGGGATAGGGTCCGTATCAGGTTTTTGGGAAGCGCCGTCGCGACTACTCGCTGAACGTCTTCTTCCCTCCACACCGTATTCGTGGATCTCCATCAACGGTCTGCTTCGTCTACTCTTGCGCTATCTAGCGCCGACAACCCTACTGTAAGGATATCTGCAGTTTCTTTGTTGTTGATTCTAGCTTTTCTTCTGTTACTAGCACTAGAGAGTTTGAGTTTATCTCGGATCGTAATGCTAATGTTAAATCACACATCTATGATACATGTCGTTGTTCTTTTTCTAATTATAAAATTAATTTATGCATCACTAAATTGCTATTATTTTCAACAATCCAAAAAACCTAATAGGTGTTTAGTTATGACTGGATTTTCTGATGCGATGAAACCGAAGAAGTTCACTGGTGTGAATTTTAAGAGATGGCAGACGAGAGCCCAGCTATGTGGCTCTCGGCTATGGGTGTGTTTTGGGTCATGAGTAATCCTCCCATACTACCTCTCGGATCTGAGAAAGAGGTGCAGGAGTTTACCGTGGCTACGACGATTTTCGTCGGATGCGTCCTTAGCGTGCTCTCTGACCAGCTGTGTGATGTTTACATGAACATCAAAAGTGCTGCTGAATTGTAGGAGGCGCTTGAACACAAGTTCTCTGCCTCATACGCTGGGCTCAAGCTGTATGTGATGGAGCAGTACCACGATCTCATAATGGTTGATAACCGTTTTGTCGTGGAACGGGCTCATGAGTTCCAATGTATTGTAAGGGAACTCGAACAGCTCGAACACATCTAGCCCAATAAGTTTGTGGCGG